TTGCCTAATCACAACAAAGACTGAATGAATCAGTTTCATTCAGTAACAATGATTGCAAATATCAATGAAATACATTGGTATTAGCAATTATATTGTGGTAGAAAAAAAATCCTGATCACTTGCCCAGAGTAGTTCAATGTTACTATGGTAACATTGTATTGCTTTGGTCACAGTGTGCTGAAAAATAAAATAGTAAAAAAAAAAATGTCATAAAAAATAAAAAAAATAATAGAAACATTTGAAAAAAAATACGAATTCAATTATTATTATTTTCACCAAAGAAATGTAGCAGAATACATTTTGACCTAAATTTATGAAGAAATGTTATTTATTTGCAAAATTTTTTAACAGAAACAAAGAAAAGTGCTTTTTTTTTCAAAAGTTTCAGTTTTTTTTTTTGTTTTATTTAGCAAAAAATAAAAAACTCAGTGGTGATTAAATACCACCAAAAGAAAGCTCTATTTGTGTGAAAAAAATGATAAAAATGTCATATGGGTACAGTGTTGCATGACCGAACAATTGTCATTCAAAGTGCAACAGCGCTGAAAGGTGAAAATTGGCCTGGGCAGGAAGGAGGTAAAAGTGCCCGGTATTGAAGTGGTTAAGATCTTGCTGTGGTGAACAGAAAAGCGACTTTAGTTAGGAAAATGCCTGTTAGTAAATGTAAAATTTTGAGTGTGGAATCTGATTGGTTGCCATCAACAAGTCATCTTATTAGGTTCTCTTTTTGTAAATAATAGTGCTGACTTCTTGTCAGTTTTTATTGGTCATGTTGTTTTCCTGAATCTGATTCACACAGTGTTGCAGTCCTGCCGCTCAATTTAATTGTGAATGATGAAACCTCTGGCAATGATGTCAGGAATATGAAGCCGGGCACATAGTCTGCCATTGAATACTGATGTAAACAAACAAGTGTGCAAGCTGTTGCTGAGCGAGATGAGAAATACCTGAGGTAGTCTTCTCAGTGTATTATTAAATCAGAGCGTCTGCAGCGTTCACTGGAATTGGATTATGTTTATTATAAGATCATCACTTCATTATGCTGCCATTATTTATGAAAAACAAGTGCCAGTAAAGTGTCTCATTTGTGGATTAGCAAAACTGTATTCAGTGGGCAGACATCTCCATGCACAACATGCTGGGATCTGTAAACAGCAGGAGGAATGACAAACACAAATCTACCTGTCAAGCTGGTTTTTCAGGAAATGTTCTGAATGTTTTAACAGCCCTCTGCTGTACAATGCTCAGTCCTGCAAGCATCAGATGGAACTGTTTTGATTACACACCTACAGTAATTGTCCTCCTGTATCACAGTTACATGGTATGCTGCTCTGCATACCTGTCTAATTTCAATGATCGGATTAACAAAGATATACACCAAATCAATAAAAGTGTGACAATTTGTTAATTTGTTGCATGGTAATGGCATGCTGTTGGTCCATACAAATCCATTTCTCCCCTCACTCCTGCAGTGCTGCTGTCTGGACATCCTCAATATAGGATTTATGCCACTGTGGTAATGGTGTACATTTCTGAACAATTTTGAACTTGTGGCGCAAGTGTTTGATTGCCCTCCAGAGGATTTACCCCCCTTCCTGACCAGGCCATTTTTTGAGATATGACACTGCATTACTTTAACTGCCAATTGCGTGGTCATGCAACACTACATAAATGAAATTGATGTCATTTTTTTCCCACAGATAGAGCTTTCTTTCGGTGGTGTTTGATCACGCTTGCGGTTTTTATTATTTGCGTTATAAACAAAAACATACCTACAATTTAGAAAAAAAATATTTTTGACTTTTTGCTATAAAACATATCCAATAAAAAAATTTAAAAAATCGAATTTCTTCATAAATTTAGGCCAAAATGTATTGTGCTACATGTCTTTGCTAAAAAAAAAAATCTGAATACGTATAAATTAATTGGCTTACGTAAAAGTTATAGCATCTACAAATGGCGATATATATACTGGAATTTGTATTAATTTTTTCTTTTATACTAGTAATGGCGGTGATCAGAAACTTATAGTGGGACTGCGGAGGGCATTCTGACACTGGGTGAGAACTAACTAACTGCCACTGACATCCCCAGTGACACTAATACTGTAATCAGTGCTAATAAAAAGCACTGACACTGTACTAATGACACTGGGCAGGAAGGGGTTAACATCTGGGGCGATCAAAGGGTTAACTGTGTGTTGTGTTTTACTAGGGAGACATGCTGTTTTGTATCTCCCTTCTGTGCTGTGCAGAGAGATACAAAACAGCATGTCCATGTTGACAGTAGAGAGACCTGTGTTGTTTACAATGTACTAATGACACTGGGCAGGAAGGGGTTAACATCTGGGGCGATCAAAGGGTTAACTGTGTGCTCTGTGTGTTTTACTTTTTGCTGTGTGTGTGTGTGCTTTACTGGGGAGGCATGCTTTTTTTTATTGCTCTGCTATACAAAACAGCATGCTGGAGCTGACAGGGGCAAGATCTTAATTGTTTACATACAGACCTCTCCCCCATCAGTGATAGTCGGCTGGGAATCACCGGTCGGGACCTGGTGATTGACACTTCTAGCTGCCAATAGCACGCCCCCTTCCAGAAAGTGCAGATCACATATATATATATATATAAATACATGATTTTGCGCAGCCCTGTCGCCCTGTAGCAGTATTTCTGCTAAAGGGCAGAGGGCAAGTGATTTGGCACACCCTATCAGACGATAATAGAAACTGTCGCAAATCAGTTTTAGCAGCTGGCACAACTGAACTTGGCATCAATTTGGCATACAGAAAATGCACACGTTTCCAGTAAAAAAAGAAATACACATTTCCCTTAGTTAACTCCCTCAATGTATTTAGTTCCTGGAACCATAAGTAATGATTTTTTATTTTTAAGCTAAGTACATTTTCTGCAAGTACAAAAAACTTCCAGTTAATCCTGATAGAAAGCCAGTATCCTTCCACCTTTCTGTGTAGTAACCAAAATCTCAAACAATCTTATCAGCCTTCGCAGCTATCTTCTGTGGACTACAAAATAACACCCTTAATGTGATGGAGAATAGGGGGGCATGAGTTTAGTTCTAATCAGGAGAAGGAATGTGAGGGGGCAGTACTTCGGGGGAGGGATGTGAGGAGGGAAGAGGACAGTACTGTGGGGTGGGGGTAATCAGGAGATGGAGGGGGCAGGACCGAGCCATGGCTCTGTTTGTGAATGGACATGCAGAGCAGTGGCTCGGGAGGGCACCCGACAGGAGGAAGGGGCCAGGAGAGGTGGTGGGGGAGCCGAGAAAAGGAGGATCCAGGCTGCTCTGTGCAAAACTATTCCACAGAGCAGGTAAGTATAACATGTTTGTAATTTTTAAGAAAAAAAACAAGACTTTAGTATCACTTTAAGTTTTATACAGTTACAATGTGCTTTTAAGGCCTCTTTCACACAAGCTGACCGATCGGGTCCACCTATCAGTTTTCAGGTGGACCTGATCGGACCACCCATTGTTCTCAATAGGGAGGTGGATGTAAACGTACATGTGTCCCTTTACACCCGTCTGCATCTAATCCGGTCACCAAAAACAGACAGATGGAGATCCTTTCCCTAGTCCATCCAGTGTACATCCAACCGCACAAAGAGGAGAGTGGGCTGTGTCTTTGTCCACTGCATAAGTGGAGCGGACATGGACCTGTCATCCACCTGCTCAGCGGGCATCAGTGGACAGATTCTCCACTGACAATGCGAATTCGCTTGATGGAGTGCATCCCTTGTGAAAGGGGCCTAAACTTAATTGAATCAATCACTACTCAGTTTCATAGCACGGCCCCCTCCCTTCTTCTGGGAGTGTCTAGTTACACTCTGTGCTGACCCAGCTCCTCCATCCCTCCCCTCACCTACCTACATAACCTTGCTGCTGGTGAGAATGGGACTACTATAGAGTGTCACTTAAGTGACAGCTCTGAGTCTGTTGGGGCTGCTGACATACCATCCAAGATAGCAGTGCCCAACAGCAGTCCCAGGACAGTTGGATGTCTGTACAAGGGAGGCTTTTACAGGTAAATAACATGCATAAAATACACTAAATTAACATGCAATCTTACTGGAAGATTGTGTTGGAAAAAATGAATGGCCTAAAAAAGGGTTTCTTTAACCAAACATTCTACTGCGGACAGGTGGCTCCTACAGGAACAACCTTCTTCTGGGTTCAGGGCACAAGCGCATGTCCTCCCCCCTCTCCCCACCAACTTCTACAGCGGGCATCTGTCAGCAGGTTCCAGCCAGTAATTTTTGGAACCTGCTGATCGGCTGTATCCAGTCCCAGCCCAGATCCCTGTGTTGACAACCAACACAGGGCTCTGTACAGAGGGAATGACAGGGAGGGAGGAACAAATAGATTTTTAGTTAAAAGCAACACACATTAACACTTGTTAGGCACACACTTAACTTCTTGACAGTCCCACTATAAATCGCTGATCATCACCATTGCTAGTATAAATATAAATTCCAGTATGTATATTATAGTTTGTAGATGCTATAACTTTCACACAGACCAATCTATATACACTTGTTTAGATTTTTTTTTAGCAAAGACATGTAGCAGAATACATTTTGGCCTAAATTTATGAAGACATTTGATTTTTTATTGGATATGTTTTATAGCAGAAAGTAAAAATTATTTTTTTTCCATTCATATAACAAAAAAAAGAAACCCGGTGTTGATAAAATACCACCAAAAGAAACCTCTATTTATGTGAAAAAAAATGATATAAATTTCATTTGGACACAGCGTTGCATGACTGAGCAATTACCAGTAAAGTATCGCAGTGCTAAATAGTAAAAAATGGCCTGGTCATGAAGGGGGTAGAACCTTCTGGAGCTCAAGTGGTTACATGTACAGCTATCCTTAAGAAATAAAGTCAGTAAATGCATAATAAAATGTATATATGAACAGAATCATTTCTTGCTTGCTTAGAGCACTTTATATTGGATAATGCTTTTGTTTTGTTTTTTTTTCAGGTTTACTTCTTAAAGAGGAGAACATTCATTCTGTTACACTGCTGTACCTGATGTCCATACCCAGTTTCTGCATCTTACTAGTTTCTGCAGTGTTACTAGAGAGAGGGGTGGCGTGGGAGAGGCCACCAGACAGTGACAGTAAACTTTGGCTTTTCATCCTCCTTAGCTGCTTGGGATCTGTTTTGTACAATTTGGCAAGCTTCTGTGTCATCACACTGACCTCAGCGGTCCACCATACATGTCCTTGGCAACCTCAATGTGGTGGGAAACCTTGTCTTATCCAGAGTGCTCTTTGGAAGCCACCTTACGGTACTCAGCTATATCGGCATTGGTCTCACCTTGGTAGGGATGGGCTTGTATCATAACTGTGACTCTATTGTTAGATATATTAGCTCCAGGAGATCTGTGCATGTTACAGAAAAACACACAAAGTCTGAGTAACCAGTCGTTCTGAAGGTTTCACCAGTAAGGATATCTGTTTGTACGTGATAAAAGAGTTATCTGCTACGGGATGAATGAAGCGTTCACTGAATCCGAGTGAAGGTCGGGCAATGCCAAAGCTTAAGAGGCATCAATGACTGTTTCTTTCCAGAAACAATTTATTAATATAGATCTTGTTTTTTTAGTTTTCTCTGTTTTTATTTTTCAGATGAATTATATATTTTCGTATCTCTAATATATCCTGCAATATGCTCCAACGTATAATACATGGAAAAACAGCCAACACAAGTATGCTAGTCCCCCTGAGCCCCGCCAGAGACAGCTTGAATGTCTATTTTGGAACTATGAATTTTTAGAAGTGCAAAATACTCCATGTCATGTGTTTGTTAGCAACTGATGTCCATGTCGTGTTTGTCTTTCATTAAGGCCTCATGAGGCTGGGATATACATATATATATATATATATATATATATATATATATATATATATATATATATATCTCATCACTGCACTACAGTACAGTTTGCACAAGAAAAAGCACAATGTGCCAACATTGATCTTAATGTGTGTTTAGCTATATAACACTTCTGAATGGGATTTCCTAATAACATAGGGGCCTATTCTTATTTCTTGCTTCTCATAACAACCAGTCAGAATCCTTGTTTTATTTTGAACTGTGGGCTAAAAGAATGACAGTTTGAAGCTGATTGGCTGCTATAGGCATTTAGCGTGTTTTCATCCATAGACCACATAGTGAGCAATGGTATTTGTGATATGGACAACTTTTACTACCTATGGACCTGAGAAGGTTCCTGCCTAATCAATCTGATATTGTTCAGTTAATGATCTGCACGTGGCAGCATCGCTCAGATCCAAAAGGCTTTCGGGATGTTTACTTGCAATGCATATACCTGTATAGGCAAGCATTCGTTTATGAAAAATGATGGTGATTGGATAATGTCTACACATCCATCTCTCATCTAGTAGTTGTATGTAAACTGATGGGAGATTTAACTGCAGTGATTGGGCAAAGATCTGCACTTGTAGGGTATTCCATAACAAGCACATGTGATTATTGTGAACAGTGCAGATTGTTGAAAAATATGTTTGATGGATCCTGAACCTTCCCTTTTCCTATGGAGGAGAGGGAATGTTTGGCCCCAGCAATGCATTGTTCTCTAACTTAACTGTCCAAAACGAAAGCACAAAACAGTAATTGGCTGTTACAGGTTGCTGCATATCATTGCCTTTGATATTACTATATAAGGCCCCTATTTTAATATTACAGATAAATGAACACATTTCTCACTACTGCTAAAAACAAAGGGTGCTAAAAGCCACAGAGGGAATTTAGATGCTTTATGTGAATTCCTAGAAATAAAACAGTGACACTTTGTTCTGCTGTGCGTATTAATTACTTTGTCCTGTAAACCTAATTTAATAGCTACAATGAGCTGTGTTGATTCCCTCTGTAAAAACATCATCTCCATGAAGCTACCATAGCCATACTGTTATACTTTGTCATATTGCTATGTATTATCTTGGTTTTCCTCGCCCAGGTACACCATCTGTAAACTGTGATGATTCATGTAAAATGAATATTGTATATTGTTTGACATAGTGAGTGTCCCAATGTATCTGCTGTAAATATTTATAATAAAATCAGTATTACGATGTTTAGTGCTGGAGTTTCAGGACCTTTTTATATGGGAGATTCTTGATTGCAATACTATGGATGCCATGGGGTGTTCACCTCAGTTGACTGTTCTTAGTGAAATATGGACACTATAGTGACTTAAAAATGCTTGTTGCCATACTGTTTCTGGATTCAGACCTTGAACAGGCATGAAGATCAGGAAAGTTAGTGTCAGAACACCTAATTTGCATAGTTCTAATTTAGTGACCTAAAAAGTACTGAAGCCTCTTGATTCTTATGACAGTCAAGGAACTCTTATTTTTAGAAGTAATTAGCAGTTTTCATACTTAGGCTCCTTTCACACTGAAGGTTTGATCAGGTCCGCCTGTCAGTTTTTCAGGTGCACCTGATCAGACCCTCTATTTTGCTCTATGAACCGGCGGATGGAAAATAGACTTGTTTCCACCTACCTTCAGTCCAATCAAGACTGCTTAAAAAAAAAAAACGGAAGGGGATCAATCTCCGTCCATCTAAGTGGATCGGATAGGAGGGCAGTCAGGTGTAAACAGACAGCGTAGTCTATAAGAAAGCATATGTTCACTCTTTGTGTTAAGGTCCACTTTAGCCGCCTCCTGCCTCCCATACAAGAAAATGATGGGAGGGCGGCGTTTTTCTTACTCTAGGGGGATATCATATGATGTCCTCCCACTCTAGCTGCGCATGCGCACCCGTGTGGTGTCCCTGGGACACAGCGGATCACCAATCGCAGTAAAGAGGCGATGACGTCAGCTCTATCATGTGATCATTTGTGTCCAATCACAGCTGGTTGCATGTAAATAGGAAATGCCGGTTTCCGGCAGTCCTCTCCTCAAGCTGACAGCACGTGAGGAGAGCCGGTAGTCGGCATTCCTCAGAGGGGACATGTACACTGACCATTCATGATCAATGCCCTGATAATCAGTGTAGCCCCATCAGTGCCACCTGTCAGTGCCCATCAATGCCACATTCCAGTGCACATCAATGCCACATATCAGTACACATCAGTGCCTATCAGAGCTATCTTTCAGTGCCAACTATCAGTGCCAGTCAGTGCTTCCTATCAGTGCCCATTAGTGCCGTCGGTCAGTGCCACCTATCAGTGACAGTCAGTGCTGCCTATCAGTCCTGCCTAACAGTTCCAATCAGTGCCGCCTATCAGTACCAGTTATTGCTGCCTATCAGTGCTGCCTATCAGTGCCATATATTATTATTATACAGTATTTATATAGTGCCAAAGGGTATGCTCAGCGCTGTACAGTAGCAAGGGGGACAGAACATGAGACAAGACAGTAACATTCGCTACACGAGGGGTTCGAGGGCCCTGCTCTTTCGAGCTTACAATCTAGGAATATATGAGTGCTGCCTTTCAGTGCCCATCAGTGATGCCTGTCAATGCCCATCAGTGCCCATCACTGCAGCCTCATTAGCACACATCAACGAAAGAGAAAAATTACTTATTTACAAAATATTATAACAGAAACTAAGAAAAAAACTTTTTTTTTCAACATTTTCAGCCTTTTTTAGTTTGTTTAGCAAATAAAAAAACCCAGTAATGATTAAATACCACCAAAAGAAAGCTCTATCTGTCTCAAAAAAATGATAAAAGCTTAGTTTGGGTGCAGTGTTGCATGACCATGCAATTGCCATTTGAAGTGAGACAGCTCTGAAAGCTGAAAATTGGCCTGGGCGGGAAGGCGGTAAAAGTGCCTGGTAGGCAAGTGGTTAAGGACCCGTTCACACTTGAGTAATGCAGCCGTGTCGTGTTTTTGGGGTGTTTTTTGTGCTTTTAGTGCACTTTTGGAGCAGACCAGTCATTTGATTGAGCTTCCACACTAAAAAGTCACTAAAGAAGCTCATGCACCAAATTTTGAACATAAGCCAAACGTGTTTTGCATTGCTTGTCCTTCTTGCATGACTTCTACTCGTTTGTAGTGTCATTAAGAAATAATAGCACCATTAGTGCGGTGCATGGAACTCTGAACATTTTCCCAGTCCATGCTCACACTGCATGGGTTAACTGCAGGGTTATTGTTTATTTATTCTAGGGGAGAGTGAAAGCATTTTTACTAACCTGATCCTCCACTCTTTTGGGAGACAGTGCTCCCCTATACTCCGGCAGTGAACTGTCTCTCGGTGTCATCACATCCAATTCAGGGCTGTGGACTGTTGATGATGTCAGGACCTTAGACTGCAGAATCATGGGGGAGAAGACGCTTTGGGGACCAGTCTAGCAGCACACAAGAGCAGAGGATCAGGTAAGTATATTTTCCTTTCTATGCTTCTTAGAACTAAATGAGCAGTTAACCCTTGTAGTATGGGTGCAGTCCCACTGCAAAGGAGATTTTTCAGCTTTCCCACAGTTCAGATTTAGGTGCTGTCAGTTATAAACCTTCTGATCAGAAGGGATGCTTTCCTACCTGTACACGGGCATGTTCAGAAATCATCACTATACAAGGGTGCTGAGCATGCTACCAAATCTACTGAGGGATAAAGCTATTCTTTGAAGCTCGCTAAAAAACATTTGATATACATTTTTCTTTAAAATTTACTTGACTTTTTATTTATTTTCATTATGTTACCTTTGGAAATGAGGCTTAAAGATTTTATTTCGGTATTATAGTCTTGTCTAAGTATGGTCTGTAAACTGGTACATTTTATACATACCTTAGCATGAGTATTGGATCTACAAGACTTACAGGAAATTAAATGCAGTCGGCCATTTAGTGTTAGAGGAACCATGCGCTGAGAAAATTATGTAGACTGCTATTCCTGACCTTTTTCTCTGAAAATGCTAGTTCCCATACTGTCATGATGATCAAGTGGCTTCAATACTTTCTTGATCACAGACTTAAAGTGGTTATAAAGGTTCAGCTTTTTTTTTTTTTTATAACAAACATGTCATACTTACCTGCTCTGTGCAATGGTTTTGCACAGAGCAGCCTAAATCTTCTTCTTCTCAGGCACCCCGTCGGCACTTCTGGCCCCTCCCCTCTGCTGAGTGCCTCCAGAGCTGCTTGTTCTGGGGGCACTCATGCGTGCTCACTCCCGAGCCACCTCTGTGTGTCTATGGGACACACAGAGCATGCTCAGCCCCACCCCTTACTCTCTCCTCACTGGCTTTGATTGACAGCAGCGGGAGCCAACAGTTCCTTCTTTGTCCACTTCAGCTGCAGAAGGTTTTTCTCCCTTCATGACTAGGCCATGGCCATTTTGCTCTTTAGCACTGATCTAACTGGTAATTGTGTGGTCATGCAATGCTGTAACCAAACAAAATGTATTTAATTTATTCACACAAATAGAGCTTTCTTTTAGTGGAATTTGACC